GGAGATCATCTTAGCCTTGGAAGAAAGACAGGAGGAGGTGGGATCAGTGAGGGAAAAGGAGAATGAAAGAAAACAACAACACACTATGAAGTCTATGAACAAGAAGTCATAACAGCACCACATACCTGATGTCAGGAAACACCCAAGGGAACAGGGGAGGGTATAACTGGGAATCAAGAACAAAAGAAGCTGCCGTATACGGAGTCAGATCATTGATCCACTCAGCTCAGTATTATTCTCATGGACAGGCACCAGATCACCAGGTTTTCAGACAGAATGCTTTCTCAGCCCTGGAGATGGTCAGGATTCCTCTGGGATAATTTGCATGCAACCCAGGAACTGTTTATGACCTACTGCAATGGGTCCTCCAGACACTGTTCTACTATAACTTCCATAATTCATAACTATTGCCAATGTTAGCTATGGTAAGAGGAGTTGGAATCTAACATCATCTGAAGTTCCAGCACATCCTCCAACCCAGTCAATACTCTGGACAAGACAAGTGTCCTTGAATGGGAGGGAAGGAGACTCCTCAGTTTCTTGAGGTACAAAAAAGTATTCCAGGTTCCAGGAGGTAAGGCACATTTTTAAATGAAATGACTTTGATATACCTTACAAAGGACAGGACTTTATTCAAAGTTTCATCCTGAAGCTGGATGTTGTTGATCAGGGCAGAACTTTGACATTTTGCTACCTAAAGCAAAAGACAAGATGGAGTCTTCCTCTCCAATCCATGTATGGAAACTAAGTACATTGAGAGTTAAATATTTATTTTATTTATTTAATTATTCTATTTATATCCCGCCTCTCTGGTCGATATTGCTACAATACTGGCAATGAGATGGTATCTTAATTAATAAACGAGACAACGGCAGAACTTTGACATTTTGCTACCTAAAGCAAAAGACAAGATGGAGTCTTCCTCTCCAATCCATGTATGGAAACTAAGTACATTGAGAGTTAAATATTTATTTTATTTATTTAATTATTCTATTTATATCCCGCCTCTCTGGTCGATATTGCTACAATACTGGCGATGAGATGGTATCTTAATTAATAAACGAGGCAACAGGCTAATTTATGGAACCTAAGAGAGGTTATTTTGCATACATAGCTTTGCATAGCGTTTGCACTGAGGAAAAGAACTGATGAGTCCAGGAGAAATGGCCAAGAAATGACCACTCATGTATCTAGTATATCTGCTGCCTGAACTTGCCACTTCACTTTGCCCTACAGTTAGGCCAATCTTCCTATAAAACAGTTTGAAAAAAACTTTAAATCCTACAGGGAAAACAAGCATGGTGAGCGCGGTATCAGTTCTATGAGCTGACAGGACTTAGCTAATTAATTTTCAGCTGGCAGAAACACGGTGTATGTGTAGCATATAAAAAGCAAAATTCACCTTTGGGCATTAAGTCTGATCAAGAAAGATGGGTCACAGCAGGAGCCAACTGCTTTAACACACCAGGATGTGGAGTCCTGCTCCAAAATGAATCTGAGACTTGGACTAGCATATTTACCAATTCTGTCCCCTATACAGCTAATGTACCAGTACCTACCAGAAGAATTAGATTAAAGGGGGGGGAGGAGGATATGGACAATCAATCTGAATGAAGTACTGTAAATAAATAATGGTGTATCATGTCTGGCTTCTCCAACGGGCAGAATGATAATAGTCCTTGCTGTGGATGGTATGGATTCCACAAGCAGAATAGGAAAGGGGCAAGGCCTTCTCCTTCTGCAGCCTTCCCCACCCCCAGTTCTGCTCTGCCAGGTAGAGGAAACCTTAGGAGCAGATTTAACAAGAGGTAGAAGGAGAACAGGAGAGGAAGTTGCATAACTCAAGAGGAAACTCAGTCATGCAATGCTGGATTTTGCCTTTAAGTAAGCAATCCATGGCCATTGAACATGTTCAGTCCTGAAAGCATTTGTACAAGAGATCTCCTTTTCAGTCTACCTTTTTTTCTGCTTTTGCGGACTTTGGCACTCCCACAAACCGCCTGATACCTCTCCTTTGTGTGAATAATGCCTTTTTGGCTATTTCTACTGTCTGATCATCTGAAATAGAAGCGATGATCAGTTTTTAGAAAACCAGCCATCCTTAAGACATTATCTTTGTCAAAATACTGGTTGTTACTAAGGTAAACAATTAAGAATTTATTCATTTCATCTGTGGTGTGTTTGGTCAGGGGGATAGTTTTACAGTTACATTCCACTGTTTCTTCCCTGGTTTCTGTTGTTGAAAGGGCTGGCAACAGCTATGAGCACCTGCAAAATCTCACTGACAAATCTACTCTGCTGGTTTTAACAATCGTTGAAGCAATCAATCACTGAGAAATCTAGTTTACAAATTAGTTCAAATATCTTTGGGAAAGAACTGTCTTATATAAAATAAAAAATATACTGCTGAACCAACATTACAAGGATATTAAGAGGCCAGACATTCAAAAGCCTATAAATAGCTCAAGCATACTTAGGCAAGGAAAATGTATTTTTAGCTTTTTATAAAAGTTAGTGAAAACAAGCTAGTTTAATGTGGTGCCAGTTATATAATGAGATTGGTAAAATTTGTCCTTCTTGGTCAAGAGCAGAAAAAGGATGATATTGCTAAAGTACATTAAAAAGTAACATATCTAAGTGAAATTTTCATTCATGTGAAATTCATTCAAGTGAAATGGTAATTCATTCATTAGGTTCTTTAGTTACATCCCGACATTGCAGTATGTATACTAAACATGCACACAAATTTGGGGGGTTGGAAGCAATGTGTTGCAACCGATAAAATGAAAAAAGCTTGTGGTAATTAAAAATGGGCATGTTTTATTTATTTATATCAACCCTGAGTGCTCACTGGAAGGACAGACCCCGAAGCTGAGGCCCCAGTACTTTGGCCATCTCTTGAGAAGAGAAGACTCCCTTGAAAAGACCCTGATGTTGGGAAGACAAGAGGAGAAGGGGACGACACAGGACGAGATGGTCGGACAGTGTCATCGAAGCTACGAACATGAATTTGACCCAACTCCGGGAGGAAGTGGAAGACAGGAGGGCCTGGCATGCTCTGGTCCATGGGGTCACGAAGAGTCGGACATGACTTAACGACTAAACAACAAGGTTATTTATTTATTTTAAATAGTTTTACCCCTTCTTTCTCCTTGAAAAAGACTCAAGGCAGCCATTTGGCATTTCACCTTATCAGGTGATGGCTGCAGCCAGCGAATCTTATGCCAAATGCTCGTCTTTACAGTACTACAAGGTTCTTTGATTATACATAAGCAGCTCATTAGCTCTGGTACACTTCTCTGCTCTGAGGAGATATAGCATCTGTTCTTTTATCCACTTTGGAGACCAGACGCCTATACCAAGACTTGGAAAAGTTACTTTATGACTTTCACCCCCAAAATCCCACAGCCATGCTGATTAGAGGATTCTGGGGGCTCTGTTCCATAAAAGTAACATTTCCTCATTTATTCAGATATGTTCTGGTTTCAAGCCTGGGGGTCCAGATAATATTTTTCCTGTGTTTTCCCCATGCTTCTTCCATTTTTCCCCTCAAAATAAAAAAGGCAAAACAAAACATCTGCAGAACATGGCATGACTGGTAGCACCTTCTGTGCAGCATTTTAGCTACTGTCACTCTCCTTACAATCTCAGAGTATCCAGTCACTGCTGTAGTGCTTATCTCTCCCTCTTGCTACAGCAAAGCACACAGCTAGCTGGGTCAGCCCTTCTTGCTTATGTGTGGAACATGCTTCTTGGGAGATCAGAGTCTAGCACTCTTTGTGTCTCAAGCTGCAAGTTCTAACAAGTTCTAACATGTGAAAATGTGTGTATAATCTCTCTCTTACTGAAACACACACTCAGTCTGTCTTTCTTTTCATGAGAAGACTGTACTAGCACCTCACTGTTCTGAAAGTTACTTGATCTGTTGGGAATTAGTTCTGATCAGCTCCAGCTAAATTCATAAATTTCAGATCTGCAGCACAGATGCAAAGAAATAATACTAAATAAACATTCTCAAGTAGGATCTGGAGTTGGACCTCACTTTTCTCCTTTCAGCTGAGATATAGCCATCTTACATGAGATGCAATATTCCTCTAGGAGGCATGGTCCACAGGGGCCCAAAGGTAACTTATCCAAGACCCATGAACCCTGGCCCAGTTTTTAATCTGGTGCAAGTCGCACAACGTATCTAACAAACATCTGACAGGACTCATCCTGCACTACAGAAAAATCATTAGTGCTATTACAATGTCAACATCAGAACATTACTAGGAGCAGAAGTGATGTTGAGTTATCTGAATTCACATCTTTTTAAAACAGTATATATATTTTTAGAATGAGTAATTCGGCAACCAGTGTCAGCACAACACTAAGAATGCAGGAACAATAAGCATTGCTGTGTGGTAAATTCTGAAGCAGAGGTCCTCATGACAGTCTTTTGTAGAGCAAATGGGTCTTAATGTTCCATTGAAGACCAAACCCCTTTAAAGTTACTTTAAAGTTTTTTGTACTCCAACAGGAAAAACACAAAATATACTAATGCTAGCAAAGATCCACTTATCTGCTAGTGTGAAGACTGTGGCTAAATTCAGAGCTAGGAAGTTTGAGGTAAATGACCAATAATGTCCTTGTCCTTACTAACTAAGAAGTCCCTGTGTGAAGACTGTGGCTAAATTCAGAGCTAGAAAGTTTGAGATAAATGATTTTCTACCCAGGATGTCCTGACCCAAATATACCTATGTGCATCCATAAACAAAACATATAAAGAATTATGTGCTGAGTAGATTTTTTTAAAAAAAGAAACATAAAATGTACATGTTTGGAGAGACTAGAACATTCCAGTCCAGGGGCCTTAATTTCACCTGTCTAGCATTTAGGGATCAGAACAGAATCTTTCCCTCAGATGATCTGCAGCCTTCAGAGCTCTAGCTTATGTATCACGTTCCCACCCACCCAGAGTGAAAAGTGACAGCTAGCTATGTCTCCATGCCCAGCCTTACCTCCATCCGCATAAGTCTCGGTACCATAACCATCTTGCAATCCGTTATTCCAGGTGCCTTCGTATTTGGCTCCGCTGCTGACGTTCTGTCTTACTCCATACCTGCCCTTAAAGCCATGAGTCCACTCGCCTTTATAAAGCCACCGTCCTTTGGTCTCAATCCCTAAGCCATGCCGCTTGCCTTGAGACCAGTAGCCTTCATATGTGTTGCCACTGGGCCAGGTATAGACGCCCACCACCTCAAAACCATAGTTCCAGGACCCGGAGTATTCACCCTGCCCCTTGGGACCGGTGCAGATGCCATGCCCGTGGGCTTTGCCTCCTTCCCAACCTCCACAGTAGGCGCCGCCATCATCAAAATCAAACCTCCCACCACTCATGGTACCGCCAGCAAAGGGCCTCTCCTTCCCTCTCTCTCTCCCTTATTTTCCCACACACCCTTTCTCTCTCTCCCTCTCTCCTCTTTTTTCTTCCTCCTCTCTTCCTATTTTAACCAGACTGTTTCTGCTTTGGTAGAAATAAGGGGAAGTGGAATATACTGCTGCATAGCTAAACCTACACTCAAGAGACCTGCCTCAGGTGCAGCTTCCTCATAAATAAGAAAGCAGAGCCAAGAGCTCAAGGTCTGCTGCGGGGAGCAGAGGTCCCTCTTTAAAGTTCTTTGGGCACCCAGAGAAATCTGTGACCAACTCCCCAGGGATCCTAACCAGTTAGGCAGTCCATGGGGGCGCGGGGGGGCAACCTCTCTAGAAGATGGCTTTAGGGGAGGACAAGCAATAGGAATGCAACGCCTTCTCTCAGCTCCGAGGCACTAGCCTCCACATCCCTTGGGCTTCCTGGACAAGCGGTCTTTGGCAAAACTTCTGTCTGAAGCCCAAGGCACCGGGTTCAACCTACGCAGTCCTCGTAGCCTCCGCTCAATGCCTTCATTATCCGACCCCCTGAAGAGCTAATACAGAAGGGAAACAGAAGCAGCGATCTACCAGATTCCCCCTCTCCCTTCGCTACTCCCCCCCCGCCTGCCTAGCCCACGCTTTGTTCTGCCCCCAACCGCCTCCGCCTCCTCTTTTTTTCTCTGCAGCTACAAAATGCCCCCCCCTTCGGAGCTACTTGCGGGGCCGGTGCTGGCCTTTCTAGGGTCCCATAGAGACTATGCGCGCCTCCGGCTCTTTCCCCGGCAGCTTCCCGGTTTCCCACCCCCCTTCCTGCGGTAAGAAAAAGGTCAAAGCTGCCCTAACAAGGCCATCGGATCTCAAGAGCCTGGACTCCTAAAATAAACCTCCATAGCCCGGCCCCCTTTCCAGAACCCTTTTATGGGAGGACAGAGACACCCACCCATCCTTTCGGCCTGGGACGGTTAAAGGAAAAAAAAAGAAGGAAGGAAGGAAGAAGTCGAAGAGAGGATGAAAGCGAATGTCCGATTTTTAAAAAATAGCACCTAGAGTAAATCGGGGAAGGGAGGGATGAGGGGAAATCTCTTGTCAGGTCGTTTGCACCGAAGTTTGTGGCTGGAAAGAGAAGTGGAGCTGGAAACTGGGGGGTGCGGGGGGGGGAGAGAGACTTTTGTTGTCCTCGGAAAAGTTGGGAAGAGGGAAGAGAACAGGCGCGCAGGGTGAGTGAGTGAATGAATGGATGGATGGATGCGTTAAGAGACAGAGCAAGCGCCAGGGAGGGCACTAGAATGGAAACCTCAACGTGGAGTCTGCCTTTAAGTGCATGCCAACGCTTTTTTCTCTTTTTGCCAAGCGTATGTATGTTCATGCAGGACTCTGAAAAGTTGCCTTTCGTGAACTATATCCCCCAGAAACCCCAGATAGCCTGGGAGTTGTAGTTCCATAAACGAAAAGTTTCCCCACCTCTGGCCAGCTACCTTAGTGGCAAATCAGTTTAAGATGGCTGTGGAATTCCGGATGGTGTTATCTAAAACATAAACATAAACGTTTCCACTGTTTTCAGTGTGTGGAGGAGTGGCATCTTTGATTCAGAAAAATATGTCATTTGTGGAACAGCTGGAGGCTTTAAAAAAAGATATTACAGTCAATTGAACCCTTTAGAACACACCACTTGGTGTAGCTTTTTTTTTGTTTTGTTTTGTTTTTGCCAGCAGGAAAACACTACAATGAGATAATGGCACTCTGGCCAATTTTTGCACAGTACTTTTGTAGCTTGAGGAAGTTTTCCTCCTTGGAGATTTTTTGAGGTTGTGAGCACTGGCTTCCTCCTTGCTGACCTTCTTTGTACTAGGCTGAGCAGGTTATGATGTAATCATTGTTTGAAAACCCATATGTCTTAGGCCTATTTCTGATCCAGAGGACAGCACACCCAATATTTTGCTGTTGCACATAAGAGTGCAGAAGTTAAATTCCCCACTGTGCCTCCTAGGAGAACAGCCAGCTTATGAAGCCTTGGGGAAACTGCACAATCCCAGCAAAAATGATGGTAAACCACTTCTGAGTACTCCATGCCTAGAAAACCCAGAAAGAAATGTTACCATAAGTCAGAACTGATTGCCAGTATGGTGTTGTTGAGACATGTTTACAAGTGGTACAGGAGCTGTGCTTCACCACCCAGTAGAAATCAAAGAGCTGGTACTGTGTATTTCATGATGCTACCCCGCTTCCTTAAGAGGGAACTGGAAAGCTAAAAGGTTCTTTCATGGGAAGGAGGTCAAACATCTGAACCACTTCATTTTGCAATTGAACCCATGAAACAGCATGTCAATCAATTACGTAGTTCAACTTTTACCAGCAACTCAGCAAATACAAGGTCTGTTTCACAGATTAACAGGAAACATGATTACTTCTCTCATACATAGCCTATTAAAGGGTAAAATGTTGGTAATACTGTATAGTTATATGACCACCACATCAATGTCAATACTCACAATGTCATCTGTTCTGGATGTGGGGGAAGGAGATCAGGCCTAGTTAGTACTTTTATGGGTGACTAGCAAGGAATAGCAGTAATAAAGAATCCTGGCACCTTGACCTAGATGGATTGACTTGATTTCATGCAGCTTCCTATGACATTATGGAAGTATTTACCAGGTGATCATAAGAGATCTTCAGATAGCTCTAGGGGAAAAAATCTCACCTGAAATCCTGGAAAGTCAGGACCATTCACAGCCTATACTAGGCTGAATGGAGAAAGGTTACAACTTGATATAGACCAGCTTCCTATGTAACTAATACAGACACCTGCTTTGTACCAAGTCACAACCTGTGATCCATGTAGCACAGTAGAGTTGGCATCAAGAGTGAGCTTAGAGCTCAAAGACTGGATAATGATAGTGGATATAAGAAGGGTAGAGGAAGGGTAGAGGAAGGCCCACCTACTCAAAATGGTATTCAAATGGACTATGTCATCTAGACTCCCTCCATTATGTGTCTGAGGCAAGGCAATTACAGGATAAAAGCCTTTTGTGGAAGCTCCAACACTACAACTTGGAGGCGCCCAGGAGTTAAACTTTTGCATGCAACATATGAACTCTACTACTGAGCTGCAACCTTTGTCATTCTTTACATTAGCAGACCCAATATCCAATATATATAATGACAACTGGAGTGCACAGCAACATGTTCATAATTAGAGATGGGCACGAACCTGGAAAATGGTGGTTCCTGAAGGCTTGGAACTAGTTTGGTTTTTGGTTTGTGCCCAGTGGGGGAGGTAAGAGAGGCCAGACTTGCAATCTCTGAAGAGGCAGTGGGAAGAGGCAGTGGCAGTAGACTAGATAGGGAGGCAATGGGGCATCCATTTTGCCTAAGCAAACTGAACTGCTGTGTGGCAAAAAGCTCAACACTTCATTTCAGCAGAATTGGTTGCATGAACCAAACCATGAGCCAGCTCGGTTTATGGGTTTTTCCAGTTCGTAGTTCAGTTTGTGCCCATCAATATTAGTTGCATGAACCAAACCATGAGCCAGCTCGTAGTTCAGTTCGTGCCCATCATTATTCATGATTTAATGTCATCATAACTCAATTACCTCAAACCAGGTTCTGCAGTCTCCAAACCTATCGGGGACACATTTGAATTGCAATGGAGCCAAAGCAAACCAATGCAAATCTGAACCTATGCAAAGTGTTTTAAGAGTCAGAGAACATTAGTGTGCCTCAGTGTGCCTGCAGAAATTGATACATTTCTCCTCAAGTTCTCCATGTAAGGAAACTGCAGGGGAGGAAGGGTGCTGGTGGAATGGACTGACATGCAGCTCTGGTATTTAAATATAGTAGTAGATGGGTTTTATCAGCGATCTAAGTCCATGTATTTCTGGGCAAGAATGTTCTTTGCTTATTCTCTGGAAGGAGCAGAAATTTTAAAGTTTTTGTTGAGTCTGTGGGTGCAGAGAGGTTCTACATGCATGGTGCTTTCTTTAAAGATGTGAATTTTCAGTGACTACCAGTATATGCCCTACAACCGTCCAGCCCGCCCCCCCACGCCTTACTTTGGCTCCAGTTAACAGAAAATAACTGTGAATGGTTTTTCATTCATTCTAATTCCCTAGCCCCTCAACCCACAGAAAAAGATACAGGGAAGACTTGTGACACTAACAGGTCTCATGACACCAGGGAGGGAAAACGGCTTTGCTGTTGTTTAGTTAAGCCTTAAGTCGTATCCAACTCTTTGTGACCCCATGGACCAGAGCACGCCAGGCCCTCCTGTCTTCCACTGCCTCCCGGAGTTCGGTCAAAAGGAAAATGGCTACTTGGGCCCAATTTGGACATTGACACTTAGGGGTGTACTCACTTTTGTTGCCAGAGGTTTAGACATTGATGGCTGTGTTTCCTTATTTTGAGGGGACAGCACATTTACACTGTTATACAAGCTGTATACTCAGTTTTACATTTTAGCCAAGTGTCATTTCTTCAGTGTTGTCAAATGAAAATACTGTATATACTAAAATATTTATGATATATGAGGGGGTGTACTCACTTCTGTGATATACAGTACTTATACATTTAAAGCTTGCCAGGCCAGGCATGGTTCCATCAGAACAGATACATACTCTTGGAAATTTCATCCAGTTCTGCCATGAATTTTTGCCTTATCATCATTTCCCTATTTTTCTGAAATTGGCAGGCCACCACCCCTCATTGTTCCTCCAAATTTGAGTTCTGTCAAACATTTTTTTGAAATGCAACCATGCATGGACCTCTTATTTGGTAGGAAATTTTGGATTTCACGTCAAGCTTGGGATTCATACCCAAGCCAAAATTGTTCTGAAATGAATTGCCAAACCAAGATCTGAATCATTATTGTAATCAATGCACACACCTATTTGAAAGCTTTTGTACAAAACCCTGAGATTTCATTATTTAGAAATAAACACTGTACAGTATTTTCAAATTATCTATACTTTTAAATAACAATAGCTTTTAAAATAGGAGTGCTTATATAGGATAAATAAAAATAAAGCTACACAAAAGAGATACCACCTTTCTATAGAGAGAGCAGGTCAGTGGCTTTTTCTTTGCCATACATGTGACCCCTAGATTGAAAAGTGCAAAATTGCTTAAAATTATAAACACCTGAAGAGCCATTTTAACCTTGCCTACATGCATGTATGTTGATAATGAATGCTTGCTACATGTCGATGCACAATCGAAATACACTGCACTCTATCATTCGTTAGTTCCCATGGATATAAATGTCCCCATGTTCTTTTCCCTGCTGTTGAAGAGGGAAAAAAATTTCCTGGTGCTTTTGATCGTTTTCAAACTGAGAAAGATTATGTTTTGCATAAAATTGCTTGGTCAGCATGCATGAAATGGCACAGATCATGAGAATTGCCTAAAATGAAGATTGCTGCTTTATTGAAGAATTTTAAGCACTAAATGGGTTGTTGGGATCTTTCCTTACCATCACCCAGTCCTTCTGTACTTGTGTGTGTGCTTTGCCTCTCAAAAAGGGCACTGAAGACACAGAGATCTGGGGCAGAGGAACTGTGCATTGTCTTTTGCTCTTGGCTAGAGGCAAGCAAGCAATATCCTAAGAGTTCAAAGGACAACCTAAACCAATTTCCATCCATACTAGTTGCATTATTCATTTCAGTTCTGTTAAATATCAGTAGGCAAATGACATCATTCAATAGACTCCTGTCCTTGTGAGTGAAATGCCAATAGGAAGCACTGCTGTTATAGTCATGGCCAAAAATATTGGCACCCTTGCAATTCTGTCAGAAAAGGCAACCATTCTCTCAGAAAATTGTTGCAGTTGCAAATGTTTTGGTACTCACATGTTCACAGAGAAGAAAAGTCAAATCTGATACAATTCCACACAGAACCCCAAAAATGCACTGGCCAAGAATTGCAAGGGTGCCAATATTTTTGGCCATGACTGTAGAACTAAAACAGTTAGAAAACATACTGAACCATTTGCCACAGGAAACAAACAAGTAACCCCCATTGCTTTTGGATGCATTCCAACATCTGAAGGATTACTTCACTAAAGCCATCAGAGTCCTCCTCCCTGGTTCCAGCAGATACAGCTGCATGTGGACAGGAAAGGAAAAGACATTTTAAGAGGTTGCAACTAGTGGCTGTAGCTGAGCTCTGGCTTCCTGGCTTTTGTTGTTGTTGTTTAGTCGTGTCCGACTCTTTGTGACCCCATGGACCAGAGCACGCCAGGAATTGGGTTAAATTCATGTTGGTCGCTTCGATGACACTGTCCAACCATCTCATCCTCTGTCGCCCCCTTCTCCTCCTGCCTTCACACTTTCCCAACATCAGCGTCTTTTCCAGGGAGTCTTCAGGCTTTTAGCTTTCTCTAAATGGCTTTTAACAGTGCAGAGGACACTGACCTTTTTATGAAGACTTCAGAGTCTTAGAGTGCAACTACAGTGAGAAAATGTACAGAAGACTTCAGAGTCTTAGAGTGCAACTACATAGTGAGAAAATGTGAACTGAACAGTGGTGCCTCCCTTGACATTAATTTGTTCCAGCGAAATCGCTGTAGAACGAAAACGTTGTAAAGTGAAATGAAAAAGCCCACCGAAAACCATTCAAATGCATTCCAATGGGCTGAAAACTCACCATCCAGTGAAGATCCTCCATAGGGGCAGCCATTTTTGGTGCCTGTGCAGTGAGGAATCCATCCCTAAGCCATTTTGTACACTTGGAGGCCATTTTGAAACCCGACGATCAGCTGTTTTTTATCGTCATAAAGCAAAAATCGGTTCCCGGAGCAGGGAACCGATCATCGTGCAGCTTAAAAACCCCATTCAAAACATCGTTTTGCGATCACAAAAACCTCACCGTCAAGCAGATGTCATTAAACGAGGTAATCGTAAAGCGGGGCACGACTGTATGCACCTGAAGAGTCAGGGCCCTAAGTAAATTCTCAGAGGATGAAATTGACAAACAGTGTTGTTTGCCCATAGCTCTCCTGTAGGCCTGCTGATTTGCAAGAGGCTCAGATACAGGACAATTTCCTTCATAAGCTGTAAATAAGGGCTGACGGACAATTTCCACCCCATATTCTTTCTCTCTCTTCGATGTCTGTGCCATAGTGCAAAAGCACTGGGCCCATGCCTTTAAAAAAATAGAAATGTCATTATTTGCAGAACTCCAGCTCTCTTGATGTTTTAAGACACAAATGTCTCCACACCATCATGCCAACCACCAGCGCACACTTTTCTGCATCAGTTTGAGCAATCACATACCTGGACCAATGCAAATTTATCTGCTGTCAAAAAGTAGAATCCTTAGCAGCAGATGAAAAAACTATTGAGCAGGGTAGCCAGGTGGATTAACATTGGCTTTTTCATCATGTGGTCAACAGAAGAAAATGTAAACCAGACTGTCCCAATCCTGTTGTGCATCTCACATTATGTCAAAGTAGCCACACCCTTAAGTTATTTTGGCTGTGCTTAGAGATGGGCATGAACCACCACTTTCTAGACTTACTAATTATGTGGAAAAGGAGAACCCAGAAGGTGTTGACTTGTTAGGAAAGCAAACATAGGCAAGCAAGTTCTGAAATTTGCTCTTCTATAGAACTGAAGTTTCAAAATCCTCACCTCCTTTTGCATTTGGTCACTGTAGTTTATGCACTCACCCAACCATGAACTGAATTCCACTGTTCATTTAGCAAAGAACAGCACATACCTAAATACTCTGACAATTTTTAAAAAGTCCTCAAGAGTATTTACTACTGCTTTGAAGTAGCACAGTTTATTAGGCCAAATCTCCCAGCACAACAGTTGCCTTTACAGAAGAGCTTATAACATTTGATTTAAACTTTACACCACGTATCTTGTAGAAAATGCTAACATTTTCAATATATACAGTATTGCTCTTTTGGCTGTACACACAAAGGAGCTTTCTCGCCAACACCTGAAAAATTTGAGATGAGGTGCAAACAGTTTGAACACTGCACAAAAACTGACCAAGGTTTAGAAAGTGCACATCTGTCAAGTCCTCCTCTCCCCACTTCCTGGTCTAGTCTACTCTGTGTGTGGTTTTTTTTAAACAAAACCTCATTTTCGTTTAGTATTCTTTAAAATGCACATATTTCTTTCAAATTGTACCTAATGTTTCCATGCATCCACATTTTCTAATGCTGTTTGTATACTTTGATGTTTTTAAAATACGTGCATTTTATTGGATGCATTTTTCAGAGTTCTGGATGCTAAAGACTGGAAAAATCCCCAGACCATATGCAACAGGTGAAATTCCTCACACATCTCTACTTGAGATTACATTCATCACAGGATGTGGCGCAATACTGACATCTAGTGGCCACATAAAATGACTAAACTTCATTATCTCCTAGAAATCCAAATTTAGATTTCATTATTATAAAGGATTCATTCTCCTGTATATTTCTATAATTCCCTTCATGATGTACTCAATGCATTGCATAGAAGGAATAAATACAGATATTCTTCCATTATTAGACTGATGATTAATGCTGTTTCCTAACAATTAGACTGCCTCAGAAACCCAATACTGGGGGTGGGTGGAGTAAAACAAAAGAAAAAGACATTAGACTTTTCAGCCAATATTCAATTCCACAGCAAGGATGAGAAACATACAGCTCTATAGTTATTGCTGGACTGCAGCTATCATTATTTTTCAACACTAACCACACTGACTATAACTAATGGGAGCAGCAGTCATTCAACATTTGAAGGGTCCTGGTTCTCCAGGCCTGGCTGACAGGATCTATGGGACCTGAGTATTTTAAACTATCATTGTAAAACACTGCAAGATGATCTATCTGGCCCAAAACACAGAGCACTTCTCATTTCTCTTACAGACTAACTGCAATTCTGCAACCTACCAGTCTCAACATTTTTTCCAAACTATATTCTATACAAGACCGTATCTTTCCTCAGTTTGTGTTTTGAATTTCAGTTTTCTGAATTGATGGAGCAGGAAAAATAAAAGGACATTGTGTGATGCGAAGTGCTTTTATTACAAGCACAGAGAGCAACTGCTTCCAAGACAGAGTGTGACCAAGGGTGTTTGTTCACCAGAGCCTACTGCTGTCAGGTGTACATCATTTCAGCCATGTGGGACATTTTCTTGGGGATGTATAGGAAATTTTCCATATACCCTGAAAGGTCTTCAATAGTCACATCATCAACATGAGCTCTCGCTTGCTCAGAGCAAGACCTGAGAGAGCTGGAGGGAGCTCTTGATGGTAAAGTTTGGGAAGTGTTTTGCACATGTACTATTCTTTCTGGCGTCGACTGAGGAGTGTTTTGTAGGCCAGAAAACATGTACACTTTCATATCCTGCCACTGCTTACACTGGCAGGCTTCATCTACACATGCACACAGACCCCTTTTGTTCTGCTCAGACACTGTTTGGAAATCGGAAAGATTTTTGGTCTTTAGAATGCTTGTACGAAGAATATTGGCAGGGCCATTTTCAGGTGCATTTTTCATCACTCCAACCATGGATGTCCCAGAAGGCATGACACTAGTTTGCTTCACTCCAGTATCATTGAAGGGATGACTAGCCTGTTCATTCTTAGAGAATTCCTTTGTAGATGTCACACCCAAGACACCACTGCTGTCAGAAATATCTACTGGGTTCTTCTGCATTTTGGTAGTACAGTGGATGAACTTTGGAGGATGGAGAACTGGAGACTTTGACCGCCGGCGGCGCTGCAGTCTCATTGTCCCTCTCAACGTTTTTTTCAAACACCTAGGTGAAAAATGCAAAAATGTAGTAATTTAACTGCACAAAACCAGAGATATTTTTTTTTATCAACCTATCTTGTGATCCATAGAGAAGAGCTGGTATTTAAGTAACAGCTTTGATTTTTTTTTCGAAGGATCACTTGTTGTACTCCCCTATCTAGGGTGTAAAGAACTTGAATCTCAGCATTCCCAAATGTAAGCAATTCCCATGAGTGTAACAAAATATCTGAACACACCCTCACACTACTGTTAGGATCAGAACACAACACATCAGAATCCTACAACACTTTTAATCCCCGAAGCACTGATTTGTGACTTTTTTTGGCAGAAAGACAGACTATAAATAATGATTAGCACTCTATTTGGACAGAAATTCCCAGTACCTTTTCTGCCTTTTTACCAAAAAAAAAAAAAAAGAAAGAAAGAAGGAAAGTTCAGCAATTTCTTCAGGCACAGAAACATGTCTTAGTAACAACGGTCAAATGTGTTCCTACTTAAGAATGTAAGAGTTTACAGGATCAAACCACCACCCTATGTTCCCCAGTACCCACTTATTGCTGTTTACATTCCAGTCTCTTCATCACTGTTAACCAGTTCCAGGAAAACTGTGGCAGAACATTTCAGTATCTCCTAATTTCAGTAGCTTCTCATTAGAACCCATTCATCTTACCAATGCCAGCTATCTTTGGACGCAAAGACAGACTTCACTTTGGTTTCATCTGAAGTTTTTGCCAATGTTCTTGTAGGTGCCCCCTCATTCACGGGAGAACCACTAGACCTAAAACATGAAAAATAATGCAATTATCATTTTGAATGATGTGAAAAGTAATGGTCAGACAAATAGGGAGGGGGAATATAAACTCCTCTTAGCATGGCTCAAAATAAACTGTAGATTTATTACACTGATTTTTTAAAAGGCCAAAATGAACAAGGTAAGACTGATTCAGGTCAGCCAGCTTTTTTAGTTTTACACTACAGCTAATCCAAATCATGAATAATGAAGTGGAAGGGGTTTACAAGGCCATCGAGTCTAACCCCCTACTCAATGCAGGAAACCAAATCAAAGTAGATCTGACAGATGGCTGTCTAATTTTTTCCTGTATGCCTCCAGCATTGCAACACTCACTGCCTCCCGAAGTAACTGGTTCTATTATCTCTTGTACTGCTCTAACAGCTAAAAGGTTTTTCCTGATATTCAATCAAAATCTGTCTTCTTATAACTTGAGCCCATTATTATGTGTCCTGAACTCTGGGATGACAGAGAACAGATCCTGCCCCTTCTGTGTGTGACAATCTTTTAAGTGTCTCAGAAGTGCTATCAAATCTCCCCTCTGTCTTTTCTCAAGGCGAAACATACCCAGTTCTTTCTTGTTGTTTAGTCGTGTCCGACTCTTCATGACCCCATGGACCAGAGCACGCAGGCCTTCCTGTCTTCCACTGCCTCCCGAAGTTGGGTCAAATTCGTGTTGGTAGCTTCAATGACACTGTCCAACCATCTCATCTTCTGTCGTCCCCTTGCCTTCACACTTTCCTAACATCAGGTTCTTTTCCAGGGAGTCTTCTCATGAGATGGCCAAAGTATTGGAGTCTCAGCTTCAGGATCTGTCCTTCCAGTGAGCACTCAGAATAAAGTTCTTTCTACCTTTCCTCAAAGCACTAGGTTTATAGTCCCCTGATGATTACTGTTGCCCTATTTCCAGTTTATCGGCATCTTTCTTAAACTGTGCTGTCCAGAACCACACACGGTACTCAACGAATGCCGAATAGAGGGAAACTAGTACTTCGCAGGATTTAAAGACTATACTTACGTTAATGCAGTCTAAAATATCATTTGCCCTTTTTATAACCACATCACACTGTTCGTTCATATTCTGCTTGTGATATACAACTTCAAGATCCTTCTCATTCACAGTATTATTGAGCCAACTATCTGCCATCTTGTAACTGTTTTTGGTTTATCTGGTGTAGAACTTTGCACTTGTCCCTGTTAAATTTCATTCTGTTGTTTTTCAGCCCAGTGATTAATTTTGTTTCTGTCTTCCAGGATATTAGCTATTCCACCCAATGTTCTGTCATCTGCAAATATGATAAGCATTCCCTGCACCCTCTCATGCAATGTTGAAGAGCACTGGGCCTACGACTGAGCCTTATGGTACCGCCCCAACCTCACTACCTCTCCCTAGTTTGAAAAGGAGCCATTGATAAGGAGTCTGAGTATGACTCTGTAACCAACAGTGTATCTACTGATAGTTGTTCTATCCAGCCTACACGTGGTTAGCTTGTTAATCAGAATATAATGGGGCACTTTGTCAAAAGATTCACTGAAGTCAAGATATATTATGTCTACAACATTCCTACTGTCTGCCAAGGATGTTACTGACTAAAACAGTGAGAATGGAGACAAACAAGCCTTACCTCCTGTCTTCCCCATGCCACCTCTCTGATCACAACCCCTCCTCCCAAGGTAGCTTGATAGAACAGTATAAAAACAAAATTATGCTGCCTGAATCCAGGACTTAGTTTTTTTTTCCAAATAGACTAGATATATTAAATCAATAAGATTTACCTAAGTATTGACTGACCATTCAGAAACTGATTCAGTGGGTCGGCTTGAAGTGGAATTAGCAACTGGCCTTAAGCCCTAGATTTTACTAATGTAATGTAATCAGCTCTGAAAATATCATGCCACATCCTGTATTGGCTCTTGAACACTGTGTTCTAAGGAACCTTTTCCAAAGAGAGTAATCTATCAAGGAACAATGTATACTGCAGAGGATTCTGAGAAATGTTCCGCATGAAAGACTGTAGATTCACCCTGTTGTCTTTTCATGAACAGAACATGTGCTTGAAAAGATATTCAAAACCTCCTTGCTGCTACAGTTAGAATGGACAACTGGTGACCTCGCTGAGAAAACCAATCTATGCTTAACAGTGGCTTTACTAGAATAATTTCTAAATCATTGCACTACAGGAACCAACCAAGCAAATAAATAAATAACAGAGCCAAGAAGCAAGTATACAGCAACACCCAGAGGTTTCAGGTAGCTTACAGATTTCTCATCATTGCCTCATCAGTTCCTTCAGGATGAATACATAATGCCTCAGCCTTCCAACGTCAACATACTCTGTCATGCTTCCTTTGTAGATTCCATTATTTATTACTACATTTCCATGAGTCAGCCAAACACTATGTATAACTGGGGGTGGTTAGGAGAAAAGTTCAGGAGCTGGAAAAACTTAACCCAGAGCAATCACAACAGATCTGAACTTTAATTTTCTATATAAGTTTGGAGTGTTTTTGAAAACAACCAAATTACAATCAAAGTAACTTGTGTGTGTGAACTCTAAAAATGTGTCGCCTGTGAGCAGAGTCAGCCTGTGTTGGCCTTGGGCAAGCAGCACAGTCCAAGGGTGCCTCCAGAAGAAGGGAATGGCAAAATTCAGAATATTCTCTACCTGAAATAGGTCATCGTAAGTCAGAATTGACTTGATGGCACATGGTTATTAAAAGAGCCATTGTCTTTTGTTTAAAACTAAAAGACTGGTACATGAAAAATATAAACATAAAAGGAGCATCCTCCCACAAAATGAACCTAAAACAAAAGAAATACAGTAATTTTCACTGTGTCCATCCCTACTACTGTCAGCTCATTAGATGACTTTAGGTAAGCCACTATTTCAGTGCCAGCTTGATATCTGCACTGTATGGATAACAGTACAACTCATTCTGTTAAACAAACTGATGTAAGAAGCACTGAATTTATTGCATGTAAGATGTCTTACACAAAATGCCTCTCTCTTTATTTCATAAAAAGTCTCAGTGGCCAGAAGATACAGCAGAGAGAAACTATGGCGGAGTGAGACAGTGCTTCCCAGCCATTAGACTGGTTGCATAAATTCAAACCTCTGCTCAAAACAATGACAGGAAGAAGGTTAGGTTCAGTTATATAATTAATTTCATGTCCCCACACTGTGTAGCGCAAAGATCTATGATTCTATTCTCAATATCTAACTACATGGTCACTTACCCTTCTGAATCAACTCTTAGCTTTTTAAAAGCTGCTTGGAGATTCTCCTCAATCTCCACCATTGTCAGAGAACATCCACTGCACTCTCTCTCTCCCTGCAGGCTGAAAAACACAACACCGAGAATAAAACGAAGGAAATTAAATACAGAAAATCACAGTATACAATGGTGCCCCACATAGCGAGGTTAATCCGTTCCGGATTAACCATCGCTATGGGGAAACATCGCTATACGGAACAGAAAACGCCATAGAAATGCATTAAACTTAGTTTAATGCATCCCTATGGCTCTAAAACTCACCGTTGTGTGTAGTTTCCCCATAGCACCGCCATTGTCGCGCCCTCGGTAAGCATGGGCAGGGCGCGAAAACAATGCGGGCGGCCATTTTGGGTGTTCCGGCGGCCATTTTGGAACCGCCGAACAACTGATTCCCTGACATCGCAATGCGAAGATCGGTAAGCGAAACACTTACCGATCGTCGCAATGCGAGTTTTGCCCATTGGAACCATCGGTATGTGATCACATTAGCGATCCCAAAAAAGGGATCGCTATGCGAATTCGTCGTTAAACGGTGCACTCATTATGCGAGGCACCACTGTATTTGACTAATGAAAAGGGTCTAGACATCAAGTTTAGCCATACTGTATAGCAATTATACATCACAGTTTATTAACTTAGGTACAGCAGTGGTGGGATCAACATTCTCAATTTCCAACTTCAGTTCTGTCTCCAATGGCATAAGTAAAGGGTTTCCTGGACTTCTCCCAACAGTTCTTTCCCAAAACAGTTCTTTTGCCCGTCAGGGTCTGTATGAATTCTGGCATGGCCCCCAATGGCAACAGAACGAAGAGCACTGGCAGTGGTTCTCTCTCCAAGCACTCCACTTCTTTCTCTGTCCTTCCATCAGCTCACCAACCTGAGATTTCAAAGAGTTCTGCTTGCTTCGAGATAGAGCCATTTTACACTTCTCCACCGCCTGTCTCTTCCATCTTGGCAGCTAGCTCTCTCTTCTTCATTTTTCCATCTCTCCCTCTACCTCCCCCCCCCCCGCATTAGAGGGCTTCTTCAGAGGACAAGAATAATGTCTCCTTTCAGCTTCCTTCACAGGCACCATTAGCCTTTTGTATTCCCCAGTCCAAGGATTCTCCAAAGTTATCCATTCCTTCCCTTCAGACAATACCTTTTCTTGGTGTTTTTTTTAAACTTTCCATCCATCCTGCCTCCTCTGGTTCTTTTCCTATTGTCCTTTCTTTATACAGTGGTGCCTCGCTTAACAAGGATAATCTGTTCCAGCGAAATCGCTGTAGAGCGAAATCCTCATTAAGCGAAATAAAAAATCCCATTGAAACGCATTGAAAACCCATTCAATGCGTTCCAATGGGCTGAAAAACTCACCGTCCAGCGAAGATCCTCCATAGTGGCGGCCATTTTCGGTGCCTGTAAAGCGAGGAATCCATCCAAAAACACAGCAGGCGGCCATTTTGAAGCCGCCGATCAGCTGTTTTAAAAACGTTGTGATGCAAAGAATCGGTTCCCGAAGCAGGGAACCAATCGTCGCAAAGCGGATTTTGCCTATTAAACATCGTTTTGCGATCGCAAAACAGCCATCGTATAGTGGTTTTGTTGTTTAATGAGGCAATCGTTAAGCGAGGCACCACTGTATATCATTTCCCTCTGTTTATCATTTCCCTCTCTCCTTTGCCACCTTCCCTTTCTATTTCTTGCCTTTTCATCCAAAATGGGACTTTTTTCCAGCTCCTTCTCCCCACCTCCTCGGAATAGGTGAAAATTGGCATCTCCCTTTTCCAGGGAAGTGGGGACAGTGTGGGGATGGAAGGGTCTTCTCCTCCCACTCCCATTCTCACATTGGCCAGTCCCCAACCTGAACCAGACCACAGAAAAAAGGCCCATCTGATCAAACTTTCGATGATAGCTCAACAAGCCCACAACTATCTTGGCTTGTTAAGACTGTGTCCTAGTATACATAGATACAAGGGACATGCTCCAGTGGAGCTCAGTCTTGTGTAATGAGTTCCTATGTATGGTTATTTTTACACAGGAAAATGCAATTATTTGTAGAAGACAATCTAAGTACAAACGAAATGTCCCAAAAATCATTTTGTGTACAGTTAAAAGTTATTATAAACACCAGTAATTGTTCTATGTAAAATATAGGCAAAAGCTATTTAAAACAATATTAAGTATCCAGTAAGCCTGAGTAAACCAGAGCAAACACAGAGCACTCCAAGCACAGAACTGTTATGCTCCACATTTGTGAACAGGATTCTGTGCAACTATTAGATTGAGATTGATAAATTGCATATGTTCGCTCCAAACTAATGGTTGAATAGTCTGTGCCCTTCACACTGGTAAAAAAACCCAGGAAAAATGGCTTACTTGGACACAGCTCCCTTCTCTGCTGAACTTCGCTGATGTTTGCTTGCTCTGGAAGGATTTAATTCGGACATGTTTCTTAGCTGCCTACTGGATATCATTATGACACATCTAGAAGGATGGCTGTGTCATAATGTGTTTGATGTACATGTTAACTGTTGAATCAGGGAACAAGGAAGGTAGAAAAGGAAGTAATTATTACAAGACTACTTCTAGCAATGTCCACCTGCCAAACAGATGAACAGAAGGAAAAGAAAGCAACATAGAAAGATTAAACTGAATCTGCCATTTAAACACAAGAGGCAAACTCTCGTTTTCTGTTTTGTTTTAAATCAGTGGTCAGGGAACAGGGGTAAGTTACCCCAAATGGGGTAAAAAGGAAAATCCTGGGGGTAATGAGGATGAGACCCTAACCCCCTTCCCTCCTCCTCCTCTGCCCAGAGGGGGGGTCCCCGGCTGCCCATCACCCTTTCCTGCACCCTTGTCCTCTGCCCAGAGGGGGGGTCCCTGGCTGCCCATTACCCTTTCCTGCACCCTTGTCTGGCCTGACTGCAACCGAGCCATGGTGGATGGTGGCCGGCGACAGTCTCCTGCTGGTGGCGTACAGCAGCCGAGGTGGCAGCGGTGGGGCTGGCCATGGTGGAGGGTGAGGCGCCTCTCCTTCCAGTGCCTGGAGAGGTGGGTCACAGCAGAGGGGGGCGGGCACAGCCACGACAGCAGCCTAGGCCAGGCTCAGCCTGCTGGCACTGGGACGCCGCCCCGCGCCCCATCCCTGTTCCTGGAGAAGCCTGTCAGGCAACAGCACGGATTCCTTCAGCAGCACCTCCACATCAACCAGCCGAGCCTGGCGGAGCTTCTTGTCCTCCATGCAGCAGCTGTCATGGCACTTCGACGACGAGGCTTGCAGGAGCCCTCCAGATGTTCTTGGACTTCAGCTCCCAGAAATCCTGGCCAGCAGAGGTGGTGGTGAAGGCTTCTGGGGGTTGTAGTCCAAGAACATCTGGAGGCCCAAGGCTGGGGACCACTGCTCTAGAGGGTCCAAAAATACAGCAGCCAGATTACAGAGATCATGTGACCCCACCCCACCCCACCCCCGGTTACAGCAGCTTCACTGGCTGTGAATCTGTTTCCGGGCTGGTTTTAATCTATAAAGCCTTAAATGGATTGGGTCCAAGCTATCTAAAAGACTGTATCTCTCTCTATGAGCCTGCCTGGTATTTAAGATAATCAGTCCTACCATCCTCACCGGTGTGCTTGGTGGGGACACACAAGAGGGCCTTCTCTGTTGCTGCTCCCAGACTCTGGAATCTCTCCCATGGGAAGCTAGGCTGGCCCCATCATTGCTATCCTTCTGGAAGCAGGCAAAAAACTTTATCTTAAATTCACCATCCTGGATTAATTGCATGTTTATTGCGTTTACTGTTTTTAAATTTGTAATGCCACCCAGAGTATTAATCTAATCTAATCAAATAAAATAAATGTTTAGGCAAGCTTTTCCTTAGTAATTGGTGAACTGAGAGGGGTTTTTAAATGAGTGATTGTGCTCTGTTGTTTTAAATGTGTTTTATTACTGCTTTTAATGTAATACGTGTTTAATTATTTTTTAGTATTTGTACACCTACTGTTTTTAGCTTCTACATATTGTCTTTTTAATGATGTAATCTGCCTTGGATTCTTTTTAAGAAGAAAGGTGGGATAAAGATATTGTAAATATAATGCTACTTTATGAAACAGCTCAATATTAGATAAAGTACAGTTGTGTTAAAGAGAACAAACCCAAACCACAAGTTAATTTTTTAGCAAGGACAAGACAATTGACTTGATAGCATGAAGGAGGAGGAATGTAAGGCAGAAATTAGAGGGCAAGAGCTGAAGAGAATCAATTTATACAGCACTGATGTGAACAAGCTTAGAGTCTTGCCCTTTCTGTTATTTCACAAGACCTATATGATTGCAAACTACTTTGTTAAGAAATATTGTTATTATTTCCAAGAATTATAGCTGTTTTTTTTAAATTAATGGCAAGCCATTAATGACTGCTGAAAAAATGCAATCACACAAAGTGAGGAGGGAGTATGCAAGCTCACACTTTCTTCATTCTGCATCAACTATGGTTTGCCATTACAGTACTGTATATTTGAACCAAGGTAAAATGAACACTGCATTCAGACAATTATATTACAACTTTATATAACAAGATATAAACAAGAATCATTACGCTTGCTTACATGAAAGGAACATCAAGCTACAAAGTCTAACTAATTTAAACAAAACCAGAAACTATGTTTAGATGGGTTATGTAAAAGATAAAGGTTTTCCTTGACAATTTTTGTCCAGTCGTGTTCGACCCTAGGGAGCGGTGCTCATCCCCATTTCCCAGCCATAGAGCCAGCATTTGTCCAAAGACAATCTTCCGTGGTCACATGGCCAGTGTGACTTAGACACGGAACGCTGTTACCTTCCCACAGAGGTGGTCCCTATTTATCTACTTGCATTTGCATGCTTTCAGACTGCTAGGTTGGCAGGAGCTGGGACAAGCAACGGGCGTTCACTCCGCCATGTGGATTCGATCTTACGACTGCTGGTCCTCTGACCCTGCAGCACAGGCTTCTGCAGTTTAGCCCGCAGCGCCACCACGTCCCTATGTACCAACAGATAATTCAGAGATGTTTGACTGCTTTCATTTCCCACTTACTCATTTTTTATAATATAGAGATAAAAATGTAAAGGATATAGGCAGTAATCCATTGGGCAACTGTTTAAGGAAAACCACATAAATCTTGGTAGTAAATTGTTCCTCATTAACAAGATGGATGCACATCTGATTGCATGATCAGTTTTGTACCCAGGAATGCAACTACAGTAGTTGTTCATTAATAAGCAGCAATTTGCTGCCAGGGCTTATGTGCCTTACTTTACACAAGAATAATCACCAATGGGATTCTTGCCATTATTTTTCAATTTAGACATCAACCCAAGCCACAGTTATGCTTACTTAACCACTATCTGGTGTGATAGCTGAGCTAAATCCAATGACCACTTCAGCTTTTAAACATGTAGTAATGGTCTTTTTTGATAAATCCCATCATGGGTTTAACTACCTACTTACTGTAATATATTTCCTCTATCATACCACTAACAATACACTCAACCTGGCTTTGAAAATCCTTTCAAAATCGGATGGCTAAGCACAAATGCCCTGGCTTCACCCTACCCTCACAGATCCCCAAATGGAGTTCATGTGTCTCAGCAAATAATCAAAGCCAAAATAAAACAAAACAAAAGACACTTTCATTAAGGTAACAAACTAATTCTCAAGTTCAGCAAGTTAACAACAACAACATGCCATCAAAAATTCATAGCAACCCTTCTCAGGGTTTTCTAGATAGAGGGTACTCAAAAGCGGTTTATCATGCCCTATTCTACGTGCATCCAGGGGATGTGCAGCACATCCATCGTCACACAAGGATGCAGAGTGGGGAACTGAACTCCCAACTTCTGGCTCCACAGTCACATATCTAAATCACTGAGCGATCCAGGCAACTCAGCAGGTTAATTCCCCCAAGTTTTTATTTCACATTTGCTCTAATTTCCTGTACTAACCTGGAAAAAATATATTTAATTTAAGACAACCTGCATGCAGGAGACACTGTACTAGTCTGTTACTGTTTTTTTTTTTTGAAAAAGGCACCTTGTACTGTAATTACACCCTGACACAAAGATGCTTTTTTTTGTAGCTAAAAACGTTCCTGGGGTCACTCCGTGATACCCCCAAGAAAGTCTACCAAACCGTTAGGGTGCCACAAGACTCATAATTTTTAACAGGCAATTCAGACCTATTTACATCCTCAATTCACCTGTACTGTATAGGTCTCATCCTATGTGGACCAAAATAGCTGGGCAAAGAACCCATGAGAATTGCACATTATCATTAACCACTGTATGTAAGTCTTTTATTGTATTTTAATTGAATTTTAATTGTTGTAAGCCGCCCAGAGATCTTTGGGTACAGTAGGCGGCATATAAGTTAAATAAATAAATAAATACATAAATAAATAAGGCAGGGATCCCTGCCATCTTTTATTGTATTTTAATTGAATTTTAATTGCTGTAAGCCACCCAGAGACCTTTGGGTAGAGTGGGCAGCATATAAGTTAAATAAATAAATAAATATTTCTAGAACAATGCAGTGCTATTATGATAGTTGTCAAATAAAATTAAAAATTTAATTATTTTTTTAAAAAAAGAACAACGTACTGAGTGTCAGAACTCAGAAAGGGCATTTTATGGACTACAACTTCCAGTATATGACTGGGGGACTCTTGGAACTCCAGTCCAAAAAGCAACTTTGCCAGAAACGGGACGGGGGNNNNAAATGGCACCTTCTCTTGCCACGGAAATGCAGTGACAAAATATACTTCATCTGTGGAGTTTCTACCGGACCTACAGAGTTCGCCAGAACGGCGTAGAGATGGAGCGACCCAGTGGCTAGAAGATGGCGGGAGGGAGAAACCGCGAAAAGAACCGGGCTGGCCAAAGAGGAACGGAGCCGAACCGGGACCGGGCGCTCCAAGAAGACGCCGCGAAGCCTCGGGGGGTGACTCAGCAGAAGCCAGCCAGCCAGCCTCCCTCGACGGGAAAAGCCAGGCGTTCCTAAGCGGATCCTTCCCTGAGGAGAGGCGGGGAGGAGCTCCCAAGGGAGACGAGCGCCCGCCCGTACTTACGCAGCTGCTCAGCGCAGGCAGGAATCAAGGCAAAGCCCCGCGCCGGGAAGCGTGAGGCGAGGATTCGTTTTCCCCGCGGCGAGCGTCGCTCCCTCCTCACAAGTCTTACGCGCGGCGATGAGTCGAGAGGCCCGGATGCAAAAACCGCGTTACAGGCATCCAGCGGGAGGCGCCAGAGCGTCACCCGGACCAAGAAAGCCGGCCGAGGAGCGTTTCATGCGCATGCGCCACCACACGAGCCTTCTTGGTTATGCAAGGGAAAACGAAGGGAGAGGAAAACACTGGACTGTACAGTAGTAGCTAAAAGACAAACCCGCGGAGGGGAGGTGTGAGTCTCCGTCGCTTGAGCGCATGCGCGGGCTCCGTCGTCACTTCCTGTTGATTCTTTTCGTTCACTTCCGACAGGGGCTCCCCGGACTAATCGGGTGAGTGTTGCGTTTTGTAGGGTGGGTGGCTCCCAGTTCCCCGTGAAGCGGGTCCTGGGTCTCTCAGGTGTGCATGAAGTCTGAAGGGAGTGGGGGGGCTGCCTGGCTGTTGGAGTGGGATGGGTTTCTCCCTCGGGGCTCCCCTGAGGAGCGCGGTTGCGCCTCCCTTCTCCCTCGTTCGCCTTTTCCCCTCCGGGCAGGGGTGCTCAACAAGAGCGGGTGGGCCAAGACCGAGCCTCGGTTGGAGCCTCTGCGCGACTCCTTCTGAGGTGATTGCATCGTCTGCTGCGCTATCTCGAGTCTTGAAGTTGTGGAGGATTTTGTTTATATAAGTGTATTTGTTTATGTATTTTATTCCATTCGTGTCCTGCTCCTATTAGTGTCGAGGCACTACTCTGGGCGGTTACAACACATATAAAAACAAACAGAAATAAAGGTAGAAACATTAAAAGCAGCAACAAAAACCCTAAAAACAGATGACACAGATTAATCATATAAATTCAGAGCGGATGGAGGAAAAGAGAGGGGAAGAAGAGGAGGGAGGGAAAGGTGATCAGCTAGGATCTATGTGGAAAGCAGGTGTATATTGTGTTGAAGGTATTTTATTATTTGCCACCATGTTGTTTCTGACTTATGGCGACCCTAAAGAGTGTTTCAATGTATTTGAGGTGCTCATAGGGTGGTTTTACCATTGCCACACACACACAGCAGTGCATTTTCACAACTGAACAGGGATTTGAACCCACATCCCCTGATTCCTAGCCTAACACTCTCTGCACTGTACCACTGGCTCACCAATAAGACAGAATACATTTGCCCGAAGCAGTCACCAAACTATTATGAAACAATATATCAGTAAAAATGAATGTAAGGCCCTAGGATAGCTGTTAAAACTTGATAATCCTGTCCAGCAAGTTAAACATCCTAGAATGCCTCTTTAAGCTTTAAAGTACCTGCTGCTGAAAAAAATAAGGCATGCTAACTGAGCATGCTTTGGGAGTGAGTATTAAAGGACAAGATGCCCTAACAAAAAAGGCCTTACATTAAGTCAGTTTTACTTCATGTGAGAAATCATGTAGTACTTAGTATGCTTGCTTTCTTTATTCATCTCTCTCTCTCTCTCTCTCTTGTTGTTGTTGAGGATTTTAGCAACATTTAATAGCATCTCAGAAGAAAAGGCTGTTTACAAATTACTTTTAGCAAGAACCGCCCCCAAGAAAATGCAATTTGTTGGGTTTTTTAAAAAAAAACCTAGTTTCTCTGATTTCTCTTCAGATCATATAAATCTTTTCCCTTTTTAATCCACTACTTTATCTTTTTTTTATCCGGACCATCTTCAAAGATTTGTAATTATCTCCTCTGTATTTCCTCACAACAATGCTGTAGGATGAGTTTTGATGAGAGAGAGAAATCGGCTCCAAACTGCGCTCTCAATTTCATGGCTGAGTGGACCTTTCAACTTGGACCTCATTGGTCTTAATCTGATACTCTTAACTACTTATTAGAATTTGACAGACATAGTTTAGAGACTGCACATGTAGACTTCCAATTAATCAGCCAATTGAATTTCAGTTTTCTAGTACTTGCGCACATAGCCATGTTTTTGTGGCCAAGGCATTTCAAAGTCCTGTGTTTTAAAAATTCTATAGGTGGAACTATCTGTTTGAAATAACCACTTCGACTGTGTTCGACAATAAGAAAGTAGTTATGTGCAAAGTTTCATTATAGCAGTCTATTCCAATATTCAATTTTCTTTCATGGATTGTACCCTGTTTTCCCAAAAATAAGACCTACCCTGAAAATAAGCCCTAGTATGATTTTTAGGATGCTCGTAATACAAGCCCTACCCCAAAAATAAGCCCCAGTTAAGTGAAACCCCGCCCTCCACCATTGTGCAGCAACCAGAAGATGCCATGACTGTATTTGAATAAATGTAGATTATTGTCTATGGAAAAAATAAAACATCCCATGAAAATAAGCCCTAATGTGTTTTTTGGAGCAAAAATTAATATAAGACCCTGTCTTATTTTCAGGGAAACATGGTAGAAGTTTATGATGTGAAATATTTATTTTAATTTATTATTTGATTTCTACCCCACCCCTCTAGACAGAGTGTACTAGTTGCCAGTTCTATCATAAAATATAATTCTTAACTACATAGCTGAAGGATTAAATAACAGGATTTTGTTCCTTTTTTTCTTTTTCTTTTTTCTTTTTTTCTTTTTTTGTTAGCTGTGGTAATACAATTAATTGATTTTGATATAATTAATAGATGGAAAAAGTACAGCTATATTTTAAATATTTAATGAATGTTTAAATACTTTTATATGATTTTCATTGCGAATAAATGTGGCACGCATTGTCCTACTGATAATACACGTTATTTCCTTTGAAAATGTAACTTGTTCCATTAGACGGGGGTGGATTCGATGTGCAGAGCAGGATGTGACAAAATAAAATGACTGTATTTAAGTAGATTATGCCAACTCTAAGTGAGAGTGGGAAAGCTGGTTGTGTGCTGTCACATTTTTACTAATTTTTACTCCTTTTCAATAGGGATAGGTTTTGGGGATAGGAAGCTGGGTAGGGGACATGAGTAGGGGAAGGGTAAAATTCCAGAGAGTGTGAGTGTAGTTTTACATCCACGTATACAATTCTACTAAAATAAAATAAAAAAAGATCAATTTAACAGGTTTAACCAGAATTACTATAGTTACTAATCTCTTCATTCCCTGATTAGACCTTCGTGTTCTTTTATCTATGCTTTCCAATCCATATTTCTAGTCCAGCTATAAAATCATTCCAAATTTTTGTGTCCTTTTTAAGATAATCATGTTTCTGTTTTCTTCCAGTGTTTCCCATATTATAGCTACAGTAATTATGTGTATTATCAAATATTTCATTATCTACAGTCTCAGACATAATACTCAATTAAGACAATTCCAGTTTAAATGCTATCTCACAAAATACAATTTTGTTCAACATTTCTCCAATAGTTTTTCTGCTTCCCTACTTGTCCACCCAATATGGTTGAAAACACCCTCCTTTATTTTACATTCCCAATACTTATTAAAAATCTTTCATAAAGTGGTTCTTGATTTTCATACTATAAGTTTTGAAGACAGATAGTGTCCAATTTTTATTTTATATATTGTTTCGTAAGTTCTTTTATGTCCATTGTTACTCTGTTCTCTTCGTATGAGTTTCTTGGAGGTTCTTTATAGCCATCTTTGTTGTTAAGGTTTTCTTTCCTGTTCTTAAATGCTTTTTTTATAGTGGGTTTTCTTGGCGCTTCCCATTTGGTTTTCTAGCTGAAATTCTGAACTTCCTTCTGAGTTTGGTCCTAATGATCCACTTGATTGCTTCTCTTCCTGTTTCTCATCTGTCTTTTTTTCTTCTTTCCTGCCCAGCCATTTCACCCTTTTTTCATAAAATCTTCTACCTTTATTGTTGAATTAATAGAATATCTTAATAGAATAACTTTTCTTAAAATACAATTCTTGTGAATTTAACTCTGGGGAGTTTATTATTCCTAGTGTATGCTGTATTAATGCTTCATGCTGTATCTATATTTTGCTGTACTTCTGGTCGCATCTCCGTAAGTGGAGCTAAAAAAGTTAGTTACCAATTGCACCTTTACTATTGCCTGTTATATTTGCCTGTTATAAGTTTTCTGATTCTAGTAAAAGTAAAGGTAAAGGTTCCCCTTGACAATATTTGTCCAGTCGTGTTCAACTCTAGGGGCGGTGCTCATCCCCGTTTCCAAGCCATAGAGCCAGAGTTTGTCCGAAGACAATCTTCCGTGGTCACATGGCCAGTGCGACTTAGACACGGAGTGCTGTTACCTTCCCACCGAGGTGGTCCCTATTTACTTGCATTTGCATGCTTTCGAACTGCTAGGTTGGCGGGAGCTGGGACAAGCGACGGGAACTCACTCCGTCGTGTGGATTCGATCTTATGACTGCTTGGTCTTCTGACCCTGCAGCACAGGCTTCTGCGGTTTAGCCCACAGCGTCTGGACCAATCATGATAACTGCTCAGGACTAGAGATGGGGGTATTCGTATTCGTTTACGAATACTGCTACACAGGTGGACATAATCAGGGTCCACTCCCCTGGGGCTGGACCAGCCACTCACCTTCCGCTGTTGCTGTGAGCGCCATGATCCTTTCCTATCGCTCCGGAGCTCACGGTCTGCAAACCACTCCTGGCAGGAAGTGGGAGAATGAGCCTCGCTCCAAGATTGAAGAGTGGCAAGCCATTCGTGATCTCCAGAGCGATGGGAAAGGATTGCGGATCTTGCAGCAACAGCGGAAGGTGAGTGGATGGGCTGGCCCCATGGGGCTGGACCCTCGTTATGTCCACCCGTGCGGGGATATTCGTATATGAATATGAATACCACCATCTCTACTCAGGGCTCTTGAAGTAGACTACCAGGATCAAGTATGCATTTTGGGAATCCTACACCCAGACTCAGTTATATCAAGATTGTATTATTGCTGTGCTTTCTGTAGGAGATTGCTAGGAAAGCTCACATTTCAGCTGCTTCAAAGTACAGAAACCAAAATGATGGCAGAAGCATGGCAGTCAGACTGCAGAAGACCTCTTTTAACTGGTTAGACACTGATTGACTTGTTGGTTTTGAGAGTTAAAACTCCAAATAATCTGAAACCGTATCAGTTTTGTTTGGAAGGAATCGCAATGTAAATTTGTGGCACACCAGGCTTCTCCTCTACCTCTATCTACCTCTTCTGTGTGGCCAAATCCACTTCCTTTCTGAAGTGAACTACCAGTAGAGAAAAAGACCCACTCTCTTCCTTCATTAAGGCATTATTTGCATTTCTCTCTTTATTGTGATAACAAGATTGTCCCTTTCTTAATACAGAGAGAGAAAAATGAAAGGGAGGATAAGAGCAGAAAATAGAGGAGAGAGATTGGGAGAAGGAGAGATGGAGGTGCGGGATGGGGAGAACGAAGCAGAATTTGTACATGTGGAGAGAGAAAAGGGAGATAGGTCTTTGACAGTGCCAACCTTTGGCATGTAGCCCCAAAGGAGTATGCATAATGTGGTCCTCAAGTTTTAGAAATTACAAGTAGAAAAAAAACGAAAGAACAAATAAAAAATAGAAAAATGTGGCACCTTAAAGACTATATTTTAATGTAAACTTTCATGGATGAAATCCACTTTTTTATTGGTTCTTTTATTTTTATTTTGTTTTACCTGTAATGCTTGCGCAGCTACCTTTTCTACAGCTGCAAGTTTTAGAAAGTTTGTCATCTCAGACGTAACTGATGGAAATTATTTCTGGAGAATTTATTCCTGGAGAAACCCACCAAAACAGATGTTGGAAAGAAATTGTTTTTGTTCTGGAAGCCCTTTTATGATGACTTTTTTTGAATATCCTGAGATACCTTTGGGAAGGATTTTTTTTTCTTCTACTATTTCACATTATTTACATTACACTATTTTACTGTTTACATTTTTATTTTTTTATTCTTAATTTTTTTCTGTGCTCTCTGGGAAGGAATTACCCTGTTTTCCCGAAAATAAGACCTAACCTGAAAATAAGCCCTAATATGGTTTTTCACGATGCTCGTATTATAAGCCCTACCCCCAAAATAAGCCCCAGTTAAGTGAAACCCCACCCTCCACCATTGTGCAGCATTGTATAGCAACCAGAAGATGACATGACTCTAAAATAAAACATCCCCTGAAAATAAGCCCTAATGAATTTTCTTAGCAAAAATTAATATGACCCTGTCTTATTTTCAGGGAAACATGGTATACTAAAATATTGGATATGTTTCGTTAATAAGCAACATAAAATGAAGAACTCAGCCAAGATGTCTCAAATACAAATAAGAACAAAATTTGCTAAAAATCTTAGGACGTTCACATGACTTTCCTCCTTTTGCTGTATTGATCCTCCATCTAAACAATTTTATTCAGGGGTGGAACAGATATTTCTGGAATTGGTGACTTCTGCTGACAAATTCTGAGAACTGTTTTGACAGCTGTGGTTCTGATATTAAATAATAGCTGACCTTGGCTATTAGCTTATATAATATTTTAGTAATTTATTAAATTAAACATTCTCTTCCTTTGTGATCTACAATTCATTAGAGGGGAAAAGTCTTTGTTGTTTCTTGCCTAAATTTAATGGTGAATAAGAAAAATGGTTTTACATGAAGGGATAATTTACATAGTGTCCACATAATATACAATAGGACCCCTGTATCTGTGGGATCAGTGTCCACGGTTTCACTTATCCACAGTCTGAAAATATTTAAAATATTATCCATAGTTTTCAGTATCTACTGGGGCTTGAAGCCAGTCCTCAGTGGATATGGGAGTCCTATTGTATATGTTCAAATCTGATTTTGTCGTCTCAGGCTGAAAATTGACAGTCATATCCAGCAGAAACAGTCCATTATGTTCTTCTGACAAATAGTCAGGAGCTAGCTCTTCAAAGATGCCTTTTTCCATGAAGTGTCTGGGTGTTGTAGTACAAGCCATTGTAGTGAATAGAATAATGTAATTAATGCAATCTGCACAATTTTAAAAACATACTTGCTTTGCCTTCTGTTATGTCAATGTAATAATTGATTTTTCTCTTCTTAGCATTCATTACATGGCAGGTCCAATAATACTGTAACAATTTACAGATGGAATCAGAAGCTAAAGAAGAAGACGAAAGCCTGCAAACAGCTTTCAAAAAACTGAGAGTGGATCCAGCTGGGTAGGTGGTAATAGTCATAGTTCATTATTTTGCTTACTGCTTATTTACTATTACAACCCAGTAAGCAGAGTTTTCTACCCAGTGTATAATGCATGGAATATAAACAGTAAATAAATATGCTGCATAAGGAGTCCAGGATAAAACCAGTAGCAAACAGCGGAAGTGTTGCAATGCTTAAAACCAGCAGCAAAATGGGAAACTTCTAAGATCTACAGCAATGGTTCCCAACCTTGGGTCCCCAGATGTTCTTGGACTAAAACTCCCAGAAGCCTTCACCACTAACTGTGCTGCCCAGGATTTCTGGGAGTTGTAATCAAAGACATCTGAGGACCCAAGTTTCAGAAGCACTGATCTAAAGGCATTGATAGCACTAGTAAAAGTTCTTAAAATGCCTGGAAGAATACTGTGCCTAATAATACGTCCTTTGTAACCCCAGGTTCACACCTTTATTTTGTAAAAAGGAAGTGTTGCACAACTATGTAACATTCATGAGACTTTTATAAGAACTTTTCCAAGACACAGAAAGAAACGTGTGTGTTTTCATATGAAAGCTGGTGTTCTGTTTTCACTGCCTTTGCGTCAGTGTTTTTGCTGTCTTCCTTCAATCCACATACCGTGTTTTCAGCCATTCCTCTGAAATTGGAAGTCACTAATTACAAACAACCAGTTACTGGTAAATAATTTCTTTTCCAACTATGTTACATTATAATTGTAACTGAATGAGAGATAACAGCTTCTTTTATAGTGTAATTGTAAATCTATAGTTACTTTCATAATTGAAGGTGATTTGGTCTCATTAAATGCTGGAAGACTTTCACAAGGTTTAAGTGCTAACTGATACTTCTGCCTTATGGGGCTATTCAAGTAATTATAAGATAGACTGTGTTTTATACCATGGACCAACAACCACCAGATTTGGAGCAGTCGGGTATTCTTAAAGTAAAATTAAACATAGCTGTTCTTTACTTTCAGGAAACAAAGAGAAATTCACTTTGAAAAATTTGACAATAACAGTAATTGTCTTTTTTGGATTTGGGGCTATAATTGTAATCGGTTACTTTCAGTAAGTAACCTTTCGAGGTTGGTCACCATTGAAATTGCTCTTGCTTAGTGATATCCTGTATTGGAACCCCAGTGTTCATACACAATCCCTAGTTTGCAAAATTGATATAACTGATTTTGAGTAGCTCAGATATCCTGATTTTAAACATGATGCATATAGGCAGTCCCACAGTTTGAAATGTTAATGCATACATAATAGGAAATAGGGCACAAATCAACCTTGGGGATCTTTAATAATCTTTAAAGTTATCACATGTTCAGTTTACTGACAATCAGAGCCAAGCCCCTATCCAGAACTTTTGATTTCATGTGAGTATGCAAATCAAGAAAAAGAGATTGATTTGTCTCACAAACAAATATTTTATGAGACATTTTAACTCAAGCTGTTAACTGATGGTTGTGTGACAAGATGGTATCATGGTTTTTATTCCTATTTCTTTAGATAAGCAACAGAATATAATTCCACTTGCTTTGATGGACTAGGTGTGTTATCTCTCATCAGAAGGAATATATATTGTTGGAATTAGCCTGTGGAAATTTTCTTCTAGAATAATACTTTAACCTGTCATTCACCTTTTTATATTTAGATCTTCTACATCAGTGAGTGAAGGAACAGGACTGAGAGCTTCAATCAGAGCTGCTGTTGATGGAGGCAGGCATCAAAATGGCTGCTCAAGAGAAACTTGGCATGGGTATGTCACATCACTAGTAGTGGCACGTTCACAACCTTTTCATTAAATTAAATACTCTTTGTGTCTATTATGGATATCTACCCAGAAGGGTGAAACATACTGTACCATGTACTTCTTGCACCCTTCTGCTGCCTTCGCCTAATAGTGTATTGTATTATAAATGTAGTTATAAAATAAAACTCTGTCTGACTTCGGTTGTTTTAAGGCTAATAACTATAAACATTTTTTCTAGTTAGGTTAGTCTCATCGCATGAAGTCCTCAGTCTGATTGATTCCCCTGCCAGGCAGGTAGAATCAGTAGAATCCATAAGGTTTATTTATTTTATTTATAGAACATCATTATAATGAAAACAACATTGTCCTGCTTTCGAATTTATCTATTGTTCCAGTATCTAAAAATTCTGCCTTTTGTTATAGGTGTGCCAGGAAGCCCTTGAGAGGGGCTACAAGGCCACAACGTCGCAGACGTTCCAAATCTCCTGTCCTCCATCCTCCTAAGTTTACATACTGCAGCATGAAAGCATCTTCTACAAACAGCCAACTGAAACACAAATGCCAGACCGATACATCAAAGAACAAACTTGGTCCAGATTCTAGTGTTGCAGAAGAGCCATACATAGGAAGAAACAGATGCCCCCTTTTTGATAACAGCATCTGCTGGAGAGCCAGAGCAGAACACCAGAGCACTTTCACAAATGAGCAGCCTTCCGAAAATTTGGAAAAGAGTTGTCATGCTTTTTCTTTGACCTTTGAAACCAGCCTGGATGCCAGCCAAACCACAGATTTCCGATCACTATCCAAGCTGAGTTATGGGAAGCAGTGCCCTTGTGTGGACAAGGAATGTGACTGCAAACCATGGCAAGCAATAGAAGCATACTCCTTTTCTGGTTTGCGGAGTGTCCTGTCGGAATGTGAAAAAGCAGTCCTGGAAGTACATTCACAATCTTTGCCAAACCGATCGCCTTCTGGTCTGGGTTCCTCAGGCTCTGCCCGGTCTTGTTCTGAACAAGCTCGTGTGTTTGTGGATGATGTGACTATTGAAGACCTTTCAGGGTATATGGAGTATTACTTGTATATTCCCAAGAAAATGTCCCACATGGCAGAGATGATGTACACTTGACATGAGAATCATGGGTTGAAAATTCAGTGGTGGTAGTGAGATATTTCCTCAGTGCCATAGTTGGAAATGTGTCTGTTGTCATTGCTGCGTGTTTGAGCAAATGTCTATTTGCACCATACAGTGTAGTTTTTTAAATAAAATATAAAAGAAACACCACTCTATGTCTTTAAGGTGTACAAAATTATACTCAAAGTTTCAAAAGTGTCCCTAGAATAAATTTATCCCTTGTTCCATCCAAAGGTTCTTATTAAACCAGATGTCTTGTAAAAACATCCTTTTGAAATAGAAGCTTACTTATGGCCTGGCAAATGCTGCTAATTTGAAATTACTGTATATGTACTGAGTTGAATTCTGTTTTAGCCAAAGATTCTAGGATGCTTTGTTGCCATTCTTTTACAGAGTAAGCAAACTTCTATGCCATCTTGAACATGGAAATGTAAAGAATAGTTTGCACAGTCCCTCTGAACACACTGCAGATATGGCACTCTTCTAATTTTCCTAGGTATTTGTCGAGGGATAATCCTGGAGATCGGTCTTCAGTATCACTTTGGCCAACGATTCAGAGTAAACATAGACTTTTTTCCCCAGAATACAAGAGTCCTACAATTGGTCCTCTCTTTTTTTGTTTCACAAATTACTAGATTTTTTGTGTATGTATCTGCACATAGTTTGAGGAGACATACACTTTTGCTCTGGAAACATGTTTTGCTCTTTTCCTTGTTCAGCTGCTATCCCACTTTACCCTCACATTCAGTTATGACCTTTAAAAATGATTCTAATCTTGAATTTATGAGAGACCAAAGTAAAATTAATGCTTCATATACTTCTTCAGAAAATTACTCAAGACTTCTTGAGTTAGCAGGTACTGACTTTGTCCTAGAAGACTTCTGCTGGGCTCTGTTTAAATGGATATTTCTAGAATATCTAATACCATAGACTTAGAGCAATGGCATATCCATGTGCAACAGAAATGCAGCCTACTTTATCACTGGGCTCTTGTAAGCCATCTTCAATTTCATAGGTCAACTTCTGTTTTTCACACCTATTAGCTCTTTATAGAGGAAACAAGATCAACAATGCTAACTCACAAATTAGGAATGCAGATTAAGCTTGGTGCATAATTAACAAATTAGGCCAAAGCATAAATTATGATTCCCTTAATACTCCCCTGTGCCTCTTTTTTTCCTTTTGTGGAGGCATAATGTTTTTTTTTTTAAAAAACTATAAGTCTGTGTACTTGTGAATTTTTTTAGTTTTTTTTTATGTATTGTATATAAGTTAGTTTATGAGACTGAAACTTAATCTTAAAAGCAGCCAACTATCCCATGAAACACTGAGATGCTCTAGAAAAGAGGAGAATCCACAGTTGCTATACATTGACCCATGTGCCAGCTCTTACAACAGGGAATCAGTCTAAAGAGAAATCTGTTCTCTTACAAGATTTGAAGAAAACAATTTGAATAAAGTGTATGAGAAAACCTTCCCGTGTCCTGTGGGTTTAAGGAAAAACACAAGTAGAAAAACTGGAATGCATTTGGGTAACGATCTGTGCCAATCCAGGAGCAAAAGAATGAATAGCAGGGAAATACTGCAAAATTAGGGTGGGCTTGCATATGCACTTAGAAGACTGGATTTTTTGATTCTTCAGACACAACCCTCCAAAAGCTGTACCTTGAAAGCAAGACTGAAAGTCATGGGAGTTTCCCAAGAGCTTGATGTTTGTTTCCGTGGAATTTGTGTGGAAGAATTTACTGTTGGGCTGTGTTCTTGCCGACTTTAAGCCAAATGTGTTTAAAGAGAGAAAAGTATAACCTGTAGTAGTTAATTTCAAGTTCAGGTTTACAACTTTAGGCTAGAGTGATAGTTAAGAAATGCGTGGGTATGTCATGCCCTAGATGTCAGTACTAGGTTCTATGCCATACAGATGTGTGACTACTGCCAAAAAACTTCATAAAGAATTTAATTAGTTTATTTGATTTATGTTGAAGAGCAGATTCTCTTCTTTGCCAGCCTTCTCTTACAGTGCTGGGACAATACAGAGGTTATGAGCGAATAGCTGAATCACTGCTTCTAAGCAAACTTGAATTGGAAACCATGGTAACCAAGCCTGCTTGAAGAGGGTCTGAACCTACATGCAGTGAAACCGAACCAAACCTAGCCTTGCTGTATTCATTTCTCTGGAGACAAAGTCTACCCTGCCATTGTTGGATTAAAAGATATCCAGTGCAATTTGAATGGAGTTGCTGAAAGCACAATCTGTAAGTTTTTGAATTAACTTCTGTTTCCCATTTTAGGGCACAAGGAGAAAAAAGAAAATCGGTGCAAGCCTAATTCTTTCCCTGTTTGAATTGGGAAAATGCGTGTTCTTCGTGCTGCCTTAGTAACAACCAGTAAGCTGGCGTCAACGGTATCTGCAAGATCCAGAGGAGCCATTAAATAGTGTTTAAAATTGCCCCTTTTATAGAATTCTCAGAATGTAATAGAAAGACCACTAGATGGAGCTTTTGGAATAGTTCTCAAGCCTCTTTATTAGTCATAGCAATTCAATTTATTCACAAAGGTAGTCTTTAATCCCCCATCCTGCAGCCCTGATCAAGTCTTGGAACCATTGTAGTTAGTACTGTCTGAGTAAAGGGCTTCAGTTGAACTGTCTGAAATTTATTTTTGACAAATCATTTTCAGGAACATGTATTTCAGTGCCCAAATGGTTTGGAAAGATTGCCAGGAGCCATTGGAAATTGATTATAATCTTCTTCCCCTTGTGAGGAATAGCCAGAGCAATCAAATCTTGTGCAAAGAAATGAGAATGTTTTTGGATACTGTACCTTACTTTAACAGGCATTAAGGGAAAAGACTGACCTCCTGACTTGAAAAGAACTAGAAAACTATTGAACCCATTAAACATAAATGCTGCCTTCTCTGTTTCTTAGTTGAATGCGACAATTACAGATTTTGAGAGTAAAATAAAGTATGGGACAAACCTAGAGGAGATGGGTGCTGATATTTACAATGTGGCATGGAAATTCATATTCTGGGAGCTGATTTAGCGCAGCTAAATTTTAATTCTAAAGATGCTATTTCTTTTTGAGGCCTACTGTTTGTAATCCTTGAGACCTACAGATAGAGCATTGTGCTTTAATCCCAAAGGCTACACAAAATTTACATTGGTATTTCCTCAGACTATGCTCAAAATTCTTAATCTAGACTAAGGTTTAAAACTCACAGGCAAGTTTATTTTGAGGGTAGAATTTGAATTAATTTAGCACACCTGTTCCTTGCCTTCATTTCAAAGGATTCAGAGTAGTATACAGTTACGTTATTCTACTTTATCCTAACAACAGTCCTATAAAGTAAGCTTGGCAACTAGATGAGAATTTCTGATAAATCAGAATTTGAACACAGATCTCTCTTCAGCCAACATATTTACTATATACAATGGCTGTATAGAGATTATAGATAGTTTTCATTGTTGCACAATTGGATAACACAACAATATCACATCCTTTTGTTCCACACTTTCTCATAACCTATACTAGATACAAATTAATCCTATAAAAAAAGAATAAGATAATTAAAAAAACCAAATATATTCTGCTTAATAAAGATAGAATATTGTTTCCGTGTTCACAATTCAAAATGCCAGAAAAGGGTACAATATTGCATTGCAATATCGTGCAAACAGGAGAAAAATGTCAAAATGTATGTAGCAAAGGTCAGCCTGACTTGATGACACCAGTATCAATAGTCAAGATGGTCTACTCTACAGGGTCTCCTTTTCTGTTCACTAGTACATTCACAGACACCAAGCAAACAATAATTCTAGAACCTTACTCCTTTATTCATCAGTTTAACCATACATCGCCTATACACAAATCAGTTGTCACGGCTGCTTTTCCCCAATAGTTTTCTCTCTCCCTCCCCTCCTGGCTTCTCTGCCTGGCTCCTTTCTTTTCATCACTCCTTGCACTGTCTCTGAACTCCATTCCATGGCTTGTTTGCTTATTTGTTCAAAGACATTTGAGCGTATGGTTCAGAAGTAATCCCCATTCACCTCAGTTTTATTAGTTTTCCAAAGTACTGGCAAGATGTTTGGGCAATAGCTACATAATTCTTTGTTGTGCGTGTGCAGGGAGATTTTGTGAAAACCTTTGTAAATACAATAAGCATATTTAAGGTTCCAGATCTTCTTTCCAACAGGATAGATTAATTTCAGATAAAAGAAAGGTTATAACAGGAATAATTTCTTTTTGAGTAAGTAGTGATATATTCGCGAAGGCTTTCACGGCCGGGATCTAATGGTTGTTGTGGGTTTTTCGGGCTCTTTGGCCGTGTTCTGAAGGTTGTTCTTCCTAACATTTCGCCAGTCTCTGTGGCTGGCATCTTCAGAGGACAGCATTCTGTGCTCTGTTCTTCAGAGTGCTATCCTCTGAAGATGCCGGCCACAGAGACTGGCGAAACATTAGGAAGAACAACCTTCAGAACATGGCCAAAGAGCCCAAAAAACCCACAACAACCATAAGTAGTGATAGATAGGCATTTGAAAAATAAGTTCTGAATTCTCAATAAATGGGGAAATGGTTGCAAAATGCAATCATAGAGGAAGAAGACTTTTTAAAAGCAAAAATTAGATCATTAAAAGTAGTTGTCCAACCTTCTCCAAAATTTGGCACAGAGCAAACCCATACTGTCTACATGCTGCCAAATATGGTCCTGATTCAATACCCCATTCAGAAGATAACCACATTTTGTTTGGACTGTCCCCTGCTATCAACAGTAGCTTAGGAATGCTGTTTTGACTGGTCACACAATATCATTTGTGTACTCCTGTGCACCACTAACTACATGTAGGCAGGAAGATGCAGTAAGGTATTAAAGTCACTGGGCGTTACAAAGAGACTTCTGGAGAGCTAGTATGCAATAATCTTCCACTGAGCTGCAATGAAAACTTGGGATGCAATTACTCCATATTTATCCTTTAAAAAAAAAGAAAAATCAAGAAACTGGGATACTTAAACATTGTCTAAAGCCCTTTCCCAACATGATGCTCTTCATAATCTTCAGATGTCTTGGGACATGTATTCTCCCATCATCTTCAACTAGCATGGCCAGTAGAATCCCAGCATTGCAGCAGGGGACTACTGGCAGCAAAATCCTGAGTGGTAAGACTTGAAATATTTTCAAGGACATTGCTGTAAAAGTGTAGAGAGGTGAGGTGTGTTACACTGCTAGGTTTTGCAGTGCCCCACCGCTTTGAAATAGAATAAAATGAGGAGGGGGGAGGCAAAGGTGTGCTGTTTAACACAGTCTTTCTTTCTAAACAAAGGCATTTTCAGTGGGAAGATGATTCAAGGGAAACATGTTAAGACACCCTCAGCCCTAATTTGGATCAAAGGTTCCATGGTACTTTGTCTATGATCACAAAAGAGACTCTAGTCATGATATTGTTGCATTGTGTGTACTTTGATCCTGTAAAAGAATTCAGTTACAATGGGATGCTAGATAGCTCTTCACATGCTATCATTTGTACTTTTGTAGAGGTATGATTATAGAAAATAACCATGCATTGTTACAGTTGAGTAAAGATGTGTGCATTGTTTCAACCACTATCATTTTGTCCTTTTCAAACACAAGAGGAAGCTAGATATTCTGGGTTGCATTACTTCCATTAACTTTTCCTAGATGATTGTTCCTGCACTTCTAGCTAAAAAGGGAGAGCTACTATGCAATAATCTGTGCAATTACTCTGCCCATCTAGCCAAAAAGTAAGTCAAGAAGGACACGTAAAGCAGGGGTGAGGAATATATGCCCCCCCCCTGATACTATACTGTAATTCCCATAGTCTCTCATAATGGGCATTGCTAGCTCGGGCTGATGAGAATTGCAACCCAGCAATATCTGGACGATCATGAATTGCTCACCCAGGCTAAGAGGCAGCTGGAAATACATGGGGCTGAGGACTCCGTGCCATCTTCCAGGCAGAAGAGAACAGTTCACTTTACTTGGTGATGTGCTGTGGCCATTCTAGGCTTAGGAACCCTTGGGCAAGAACTTTTTCTGTAACGGTTCCTCTTCCATCAGTCAACCCTCCTCGTTTCCACATCTGCTGCTGTCATGTTAGTCAGAGAGACTATAGAGGTAGTGATGACAACAGCTCCTCAGCCTCCTCTCTGGGCCAGAAGGCAGTGGCCATAATAAGGTGAAACAGGGGAAGACTTGG